GCTTTTCTCATCAAATGTGACGCTGCATCACTGATCAAGAATGAGTAATCCTTTATAATTATAATTTTGTTCATTAATTGAAGGAAGTCTTTGGCTTTAATTAAAAAAATTATAAGACTCAAAATGGTAGAGACGAGGCATAGACACCATTGGATGTTGACTAGCTTTGATTGGAACTTGTTATATGAAACAAAGGGATAACCAATGTAAATTGAGCTGAGTAAGCCCGAGATTGACAAAACACCAAGAAAAACAGAATTGTATATTTGGTGGAATTTAGGAACACTTAGTTTCCAGCAGTGTGCAGAATTAGTGGGTATTTCAATTTTTATCGGAATTAGACCCATCACTTTGCAGGTGTAAAACATTATTTTGAAAGCTACGACGTATTTCTTTTCTAACTTTCTGGAAATCATTTTGGTAACTGTTCATTTTGGTAATGTAGAGTCCACTAGTTCTTATGCTTGCTACAATTATATAATCGATGCAAGCCATTAAATTAATATGTGTTCGTTCATTTGAGTTAGCAATAAACTTAACAATCACTAAAGCAAATGAGATGGTGATTAACCCAATTAGGGCTACATAAAAAGTAGAAAAATTATGAGTTTTAATTTGTTTTTCATCTTTGTATTCATATGCATAATATAAATATTTCAGAAATTTGAATAAACAGTAATTTGCTTTAATAAACATCAACATACATATCGCAGTAAAAAAGTATATCACAATTTTTAGTATATTTTGGAAATGTAAATAGAAAACATTCAATAAATTAAAACCAAGCTTTTGTAACTCGTGCGATAGAATTATCGCAACAAAAATTTTTACTAAAATTTCATTAATTTTAAAATCCTTCTAACTGCGTTACATTCGAAAATATCGGGATGAGTTTTCTGAATTTTTCTAAACTATATTTGTTCCACTGTGAAACGATCAACACATATGTTATTAGTGCACTGCCGATCTGTAGTTATGAAAATTCCAAATTAATTTCTTTAATGGTGGTGTGAGATATAATAATTTAATCTTGCTTACAGATATCATTAATTTTTGTTCCAAATCAAAAAAACCATATACTGTAAATTTTATCTTGTGAAACATTAATGCGATGGAAAAATTGTTCAACTGAAACAAATATTCATTTTTAAATCAGAAAAAATTGATTCATTTCTAAAAATATTTACCTCGTCCGCCATAAACGTAAAAGCAGGATCCATGAGCATGGAACCAACAATTTTCTCTATTTTTTGGTTCTAAAATAAATCGAGAATTTTTTATGATAGAATATTTAATTTGCTCAAGAAATTACCTGGTTGATGCATTTCGTAGCGGCGGTAGTTATACTCAGAAGAATTAAAATTATAAATAATTCGTCGAAATATAGTCTTACAATCCCAAAGGTTACTTTAATTTTCCACCCGATTCTCATCAGTAGATACGAATGCAGAATTGAATATATCAAGATTTGTGATAAGTTAATAAGGATTGTTAGTGCATAAAAATGCGATAACTGTTGAGAAAAAGTGTGCAAAGCGGAATAGAGTTTGAAAGAATGCGAAAATGTTTTTTTCATTTGTGTTTCGTCAAGGTTTGGGTCCTGAGTAACGTAAAGTTTACTCATTTTTTCTAGAAATTTGTTCAAAAGTTCAAGTTCAAGTTTGAAAAAAATTAAAAAAAATACATATTGCATAAAAATGCAATGATTCATAAATACAGAAATTGTGTGAGGAAATAAAATAAAGGCAAATATTAACTCACCCATGTTCTTAGGAATATAACTGAGTATGAATAATACGATAAATGAAATATAAATTTTCATGCAGTTCCAAAGTGCTATTCTGATCGAATTTGATGCTGTATCACTAATCAAACATGAGTAATCCTTTATGATTATAATTTGGTTCATTAATTCAAGGAATTCTTTGGCTTTCATAAAAAAAATAATTATGCTCAAAAGTGCCGTGACAAGGCATAGATACCATTGGATTTTTTTTAGATTCATTTCGTACCTATTATAGGTTAGATTACTATAGACTTTATGCAAGTAAATTAAGCTAAATATACTCGAGATTAACAAAACACTAAAAAGAATCAGATTGTAGATTCGGTGGAATATAGGAATACTGAATTTCCACCTTAGCGTGGGAGGGGTGGGCATTTCAATTTTTATCGGGATAAGACCAATCACTTTGCAAGTGTAAAACATTATGTTGAAGGCTACGATATCTATTTTTGCTAACATTCTTGAGATCACTTTGGTAACTGTTCTACTGATATAAAGTTTTGAAAAATTTTACTAGTCCTTACGCCTGCTATAATTATTAAATCGATATAATCAATTAAAATATTATTTTTTCGTCTACGTGAGTTTAGTGTAAAATTAATAATTGCCAAGGCAAACTAAATGGCGAGTAAACTAATTAGGCTTCATAAAAATTAAGAAAATTTCGATTTTCAATTTTTTCACCTTTGTATGCATGGACTAACTAAAACTGCTGTAGTTAAAAAACCTTAAAAAATAATTCTTCAGTAACCAAATAAATAAAAAACTTTCGAGTCTTGCACAAATATGATTCGAGAAAAGAACATTCATTTAATTATTACCAAGTCTTTACCGCAATTAAAACTATGGCAACAAATATTTTCAATGAAGTTTTGTTAATTTTCAAATTCCTCCGTTAAATTTGAAAGCATCGGGGTGATTTTTTGAATTTTTCTTACATACAATTTGTTCCAATGCGAAATAATCATTATATATGTCGTTAGTGCGCTACCGATCTGTAGTTAAAAGAAAACAAAATTACTTTTTCGAAAATGAGTATAGTAATTTAAGTTTGCTTACGGATATCATCAGCTTTTGCTCCAAAGTGAAAAAATCGTATACTGTAAATTTTATCTTATGAAACATTAATGCGATGGAAAAATTGTTTAACTGAAACAAAAAAATTCTTGAGACAATTGCACGTTGATTTATTTCTAAAAATATTCACCTCATCTACCATAAACGTAAATTCAGGATCCATGAGCATAGAACTTAAAATTTTTTCTGTTTTTCGGTTCTGAAATAAATCATCAACATTTCATGATAGAATATTTAATTTATTTAAGAAAATTACCTGTTTGATGCAATTAGTAACGGCAGTAGTTAAGCTCAGAAGAATTAAAAACATAATTACTTCATAGCAATATGATCTTACATCAGCTATTAAACCACCCAATCTCATTAAAACATATGTATGCAGAACCAAAAATATCAAGATTTGTGATAGGTTAATAAGGAGTTTAGGTGCATAAAAATGCGACAAATCTTGCGAAAAAGTATGCAAGGCTGAGTATAGCTTGAAATAATGTGATAGTTTTCTTTTCATTTGTTTTTCGATGGGGCCTGTGCTCTGATTCTGGGCAACGTTAACTTGACTCATTTTTACCAGATATTTGTTCAAAAATTCAAGTTTATGGTATATAAAAATTATAAAAAATATGTATTGCATGAAGATGCAATTATTAATGAATATAGAAATTATGTCCGGAATTGCAATGAAGAAACTGGTTAACTCACCAATGTTCGTTGGAATATAACTCGGTATGAATAATACGATAAATGAAATATAAATTTTCATGCAGTTCCAGAGTGCTTTTCTGATCGAATGTGATGCGGTTTCACTGATCAAAAATGAGTAATCCTTTATTATCATAATTTGTTTCATTAATTGAAGAAATTCATGGCTTTTCATCACAAAAATGATGAGGCTCAAAAGTGCAGTAGCGAGACATAAATAAAATCTGATTTTTATTAGCTTTAATTCGTACTTGATATTACGAAATGAACTATCATAAATGATATTATAAACGTAAATTGCCCTATATATGTCCGAGATGAGCAAAACACCAAGAAAAAATAAATTGTAGTTCCGATGTAATTTAGGAATACTGAATTTCCATCTGAACTTGGGATGAGTGGGCATTTCAATTTTTATCGGAACTAGACCAATCACTTTGCAGGTGTAAAACATTATATTGAAAGCTACGACGTCTTTCTTTTCTAACTTTCTGGCGACCATTTTTGTTACTGTACTTGCGATGTTGAGTGTTTGAAGGTTTTACTTCTCCATATGCCCGTTGTAATTATTCGTTCGATATAATCAATTACAATATTACCTTAATTTCATAAAAATTAAGAAAATTGCTGTTTTTAATTTTTTCTACTTCTGTACATAGTTGAAATATTCTAAAAATACTCTACTGAAAATAATCATTTGCAGAATGAACAATCGAAATATGCGCAAACACAAATCGAGAATATTCAATAAATTATAACCAAGTCTCCTTTTTTTTGTAAACATATTTTTCTAACATAAGAAGCTTTTCTCGACGTATACTGGCTTACACCCACGATTTCACCTACTCTCGGTTATTCGCACGGAGTTAATACGCGTACTCTCGCACCCGGGGTATTAATATTTTAGCTATTTTTTTCCCACCTCGCGCATACATCCACATTTTACACGCGACATTCTTCTCTATATTCCATTTTCAATCCGGTTGGCGCGAAATCTATCCTTTATATCTATCTTTACGCTATCCTCGCGCCCCATTGTTTATGGGTGTATATAGCACTACATAGCCGCGCGTCGTGGTCTTTTCGCAGCCGAACATTTTTCATGTTTTCGCAAGCTCCCCCCCGAAGCTTTTCGTGTGCTTTTATATATAAGCAGCTGCGGAGCTACTCTTCTTCTGCTTTCTGCTGCTGCTTCTGCTGCTGCAGTCTAAGAGAGTTTAACGTTATACATAATATACGATTCTCGAGCCGTGTGCATGTGCTGTGCGGTGGCTTTGCTGATATAAACCCACCTCCCTTTCTTTTCTCACCGAGATTAATACCGCAGGCAAGGGTATAAATCTTTCCTCGGTTGAAAAAGAATTCACAAAAAAATAATAAAATGCCTAAACGATCATCTTTTTAAATAACGTGTAACTCTGTCTCTCTGTGTTTACAGGTGCGATCGGCGAATGCCCAGAAGTGAAGGCACCCCAGTGGGGCTCGGTGCGCGAGCGGGTGCGAGCCGACGGCTCTCTGGAGACGATTTACTCGTGCGAGCCGGGACGCAAGATCAAGGGTCACAAGGTGCTCACCTGCATCGAGAACGGCTGGAATCGACCCGTGCCCACCTGCGTACCCATCGGTAATAATTTTCAAAGTAAATATTTAATTTACCATTATTATTATCATGTATCGGCGTCGAGGCGCGATGTTTGCTCGCTGCACAGGAAAATATGTATGCTCGAACGGGAGGGATATATTGGTGCCTAAAACAGGGTCAGTAGGGAAGTCCTGTGTAGCGGTTAAATTGAAAGGCAGTCGATGTAAAAAAGTGTCCTTCGATGCGCAAACAACGCAACAACGCAACCCGCGACCAGTCGAGCTGGTCAAGTCCTGCAAAAGCAATTTCGAGGCGCGACAAACAAGAAAGGTCTACTACCAGTGCGACGCGTGCGTGACCCGCATTTTCCTTTTTTTCGTCGTCGTCGTTGTTGATTTGTTTTCCAGCAAGGGGCGCGCGCGGAGCGTTTATCGATCGCTTCGATGCGTAGGTAAATTAAAATCTCACACTCTCTTGAGCGAGTACATACAGAGTCGCGACAAAAGGGTTTCATTTAAATCGATTTATACTGCATATAGATGAACGTACTCGAGGATCGTGGGTACGCACAATCGCCCGGCAGGTGGGGGTGTAGCATCGAGGAGGAAACTTTTTTTAGCGTCTCTATTGGAAAATGTGTCGAGAAAAATCTCGTAAATTCTAGTAGCGATCGACAATATAATATATACACACATACAAACTCGAAGTTGTTTATGTTCGGGAGGAGTAAATTTTATTTATTTCCGTGTACGTCGAGCGACGGCTTATTTTTAATACGTTAAGTTAGCATATTTAGTCTAGGCATCATAAGGGTTTCCGTGGCCTTTTGATGTAGACTAAATCCATCATAGCATTTTTTATGTATTTATCGCTGCTGATTACGAATATCACAGGGGAAAATCGATCCAAGTGGGCCGGAATTAGTTATTAACAATTGAATTGTTCAAGCCGTAATAACTAAAAAACTATAATAGATATGAATAAATAAACTAATACTTTTTTGTTCATTATGAAAAAAAACGAAAAGGTTGATGTATTTTAGTTGCAATTCCGTCTATTAGAACAAAAGTTATAACAAATTTTGTCCGAATAGTCTAAAAACTGAGTTTTGCTTGTACTTAACGGGTCATTCATAATTTTTTATTGAAGCAAAAAGGATTTGGAACCACTCATTTTGAAGGTATGAATGTAAGCTACAATTAAATATAAATCCATTTGATTTCATTTATTTATAATAGGGCTGTGCGAATACTCAAAAAAACACTTTTCCTCGAGTTTGAGTAGAGTACTCGAGTTTTTTCGGGTACTCGAGTTTTTTCGAGTAATCGAGTTTTTTCGAATACTCGCAATATATTTAAGTTTTAAGTAAATAAATGATGAATCAACAGTCTCTAGACCCCTCTCTTTGTGTGTACATGCTTGTAAGTGTGATGAGGTGTGGTACTATTAAATTATTTTCTTCTTGCAGTTCTAGCCGCTGCGAATATCACACTTATAAGCATATACACACAAAGATAGGGGTCTAGAGACTGTTGATTCACCATTTATTTACTTAAAATTTAAATACATTGCGAGTACTCGAAAAAAATCGATTACTCGAAAAAATTCGAGTACCCGAAAAAACTCGAGTACTTGAAAAAAAATCGAGTATTAGAAAAAACTCGAGTACTCGAATTTTCCCGACTCGACTCGAACTCGACTCGAACTCGGCGATTAGAGTTCGAGTCGAGTAAAACTCGAAAAATCGGATACTCGCATAGCCCTAATTTATAATAAACTTGCGATGTACTTCGCTCACTAACGCTCGCTCGGTTTGTTGAAGTTTTATTAGAATTTTTAAGAAAGTAAGAAAAATAAAACCAGTTTTCACAAAATGCTATTTAAGCTAGAAGTTTGGATTTATAAGATATGTACCAGCTCATATGTAGTGTAAATACAAGGTACATAATTCAAAATCGAAAAAAGTTGAATAAAATTCCAAAATGGAAATTCAACCGAAGAAAAGGACGACTCTGAAGTTTCACTTCTGGTGCTAATTCATATACAATGCATTCTAGAGAATCCAACCACCAGAAGTGAAACTTTAGAGTCTGTTTCTTCAGTTGAATATTCATTTTGTAATTTTTTTACGTTTGTTTTTACATAAAACTTCGGTATGCACGTAAATAATCCTTATTCAGCGGTGCTTTCAAATTTTTGCATCACTTTTTTAAACTTAAAAAATCTGTCGACAGCTAGCTAGGACACTTAGCGACACCGCAGGTGAACACGAAAATTCATGTTTTTAGCTGAACCAAACCTAAAGGATTTTGCTGGTGCTCTCAATATTAAAATGTTTTTTTTTCAAAATAAACCAGTCTACTGTACATATAAGTATCGATTGTAATGCATTATTGATGAGATGATAGCCAGATAGAATAGTCGATGAGAAGAAAATTATGATCTTGTGATTATCAATGGAAAAATTGAACCTCATTTTTTTAAAAATATATTCATTTATTTGATAAAGCAACATCGTACATAGAAAAAATGATTGCAAGCATAATTATTGTCGCGAGCTTCGACCAGCAGCCACCAGACAAATGTTAAACAAATCCTTGTTCTTTAGCTCCTCCATGATCATTCCACAGCACTCGATAGGCAGTCGGTAATGTATCAATTGCAGAAATGGATCCAGGGCCCAATCGCGGAAAAATTTCGTCAATACTTTCTCGCACAGGCGCGAAGAACAAGCCTCCCTAGACTCTTGGGGAAGCTCAGGCAATTTGTACGAGCTTGCGAACTTGTAGTCGTCCATATACGTGGGATTATTCGCCATCTCTTCGAATACTGAATCGACCAAATCATCGACATCCTGACTCGTCGAAAAATCCGTACTTTCGTACAATCCGTACTTGTCGAAAAATCCCATGAGCTTCAGGGCCTTGTCTTGGTTCATTATGTAGCCTCTTGCCTCGAGCAGTTCGACGATGGCCAGTAGGCCAGTCGCAGCAGTCAGTTTAGTTAAAGAACAATCTCCTCCAAGATTATTGTTACCCTGACGATTGTTGTCCCAGTACCTATCAGAGTCACTCGGGGTCGGAAAAACGAAGCCGGACAGGTCAGCGTCACAATCCAGGAGACTCTTGACGGCCATCGGCAAACAACTCGCCACGGCCCATTCCAGCGCTGTTCGGCCCAAATTGTCCCGGGCGTCGATCCTCACCATCCGCTGCCCTTCTCTGTTCGTACTTAAAAACATCCTAATTATGTTGCCTTGGACGTCTCTCCTGGCAATGAGATGCAGAGGTGGCAGTCCTTCCGCATTAGCCAAACACGGATCGGCGCCTCGTCTCAGCAACCACTGGACCATCTTCGCGTTTCCGCTAGATATAGCCAAGTGCAACGGTGTGTTGCCCTCGTGGTCTCGGACATTCAGCAGAACCGGCAGACGTTTTTCATCACAGATGTCGAAGAATCGCTTTAACAAGTCCCTATTCTCGAATCTTTGGCAAATAATGTGAAGAGGAGTTAGTCCTACCGCATTGGCCAAACACGGATCGGCGCCTCGTCTCAGCAGCGACTTGATCATCTCCACACCTCCGCACAAAATAGCCAAGTGCAACGGTGTATTGCCCTCATTGTCCTGGGCATCGATCTGCACCGTCTTCTTGAACTCGTCGATGAACTTGAAGAATCGCTTTAAGCAGCCCCAATTCTCGTATCTTTGACAAATGATGTGTAGAGGTGCCTGTCCTTTCGCATTGGCCAAACACGGATCACGCCTTGGTTCAGCAGCGATTCGATCATCAGCGGGTTTCCGCTAGAAATAGCCAAGTGCAACGGTGTGTTGCCCTCATTGTCCTGGGCATCGATCCCCACCGTCATCTCGATCTCGTCGATAAACTCGAAGAATTGCTCTAACAAGTAATATTTCCAGTTGCTCTGACAAATGACATGCAGAGGAATCTGTCCTTTCGCATCGGCTGCATTCGGATTGGCGCCTCTTCTCAGCAGCTCTTGGACAATCTGTTCATTATTGCCGTCCTTCAGAGCCAAATGCAACGGTGTGTTGCCCTCATTGTCTCGAACATTGATCAAAACCGGCTGACGTTTTTCATCACAGATATCGAAGAATCTCTTTAAAATGTAAATGTTCCAGTTGTTCTGGCAAATGACGTGCAGAGGAGTCTGTCCTTTCGTATTGACCGTATTCGGATTTGCGCCTCTCCTCAGCAGCAGTTCGACTTCCTTGACATGGCAGTACTTCAGAGCCAAATTCCATGGTGTGTCACCCCATTTGTCTTGGGCGTTGATAGAACCGTCTGCTGGACTTCATCGACGCTCTCAAGCAGCATCAAGATCACGGAGTGAGTAATATAGCTGCGATTTTGACAAATGACATGCAAAGGAGTCGATCCGTCCTCGTAGGCCTGACTCGGATCGCGCCATATTTCAGCAGCAATCGGATAATCGGTTCTGTAGCACGCTTCAAATTTGCTGCAAAAAAGTACAGCAGCGAATTACCTGTTTCTGGTACGAGGCAATTGGGATCCTGGCCGAGCTCGAGGAATTTCTTCGCGACGTCGTCGAGGCCATTAATATGCAGGCCACATGGAAATGTGTGTAGCCATACTCGTCGGTATAATTTACGTGGAATTTGTCGTAAATTGTAAATAGATTTTTAAGCACTTTAATTTTCGGAGCCCACTGGTGCCATTCAGCCATCTTGTGTACTGCTGTGGTACGACGCAGCAGTGGCTTACCATCTTCGTCAAAGTTGGGTTCGTCTTTGTAGCCGCTACGAATAACGAACTCGACGATTCGCTCACTCCAAAGAGACCTTTTGATGCTCTTCATGAGAATCCAATCCATCTCTTGCTTCGTAAAAATTTTGTGCAGATTTGGAAGCTTTTCCTTCCAATCTCTTATTAATAATATAAATTCATGGAGAAATTGGTTTCGATGATTTTCAAACTTCCAATTGAAACTTTCACGTAACCTCTTCAATTTTTCTAATTTTGGATGCGCCACATATTTGTCGACTGCCGCGACTCCACCTT